AGAGTAAGCAGGTGATGTACCANCCTCGATGCCNATCCAAATTTCATAGAGTGGAACTGAAGGAACACACCCAGTTTCGAGTAATAAAGCTCATTCAATTCATCTGGTTGTAGTACACCATCTTGAACTAGAGTTTCAAACAGTTTTTTATCACCCGCATAATAACCTATGCTTTTAGCCGGAGGAGGTTCTTGGCCTTTTGTATAAAGCCTCAACGGAATTTCCATATTAGACATTATCAGCAACAACCAAAATCTGCAATTCAAATTATAATGGAGTTATAGTCTGCAACAGAAGTCCACAACAGAAGTCTGCAACAGTTGTCTGCAAACCCAGTTTACATGATTTTATGGAAAATTCAGAAAATCATGAAAAAACCAACCTTTGAGAGATATCAAAGTTGAAATCGAAGCGAACCAAGCGGTTTCTAGATCTGGAAGAGAGAGAGAGAGTAAAAGATATAAAGTTAGTTTTTACGATTCAAAGAGAGAAAGGTAGAAACTATGAGAGGAAGAGAAGAGATATTACCTTTCTTCTTCAAACGACGGTGAGGAAGAACCAGATCTGGAAAGAGAGTGAGAGATAGAAATTAGATTTATGATTCAAAGAGGTAAAGAGAGAAACCATGGGAGGAAGAGAAGAGGGATTACCTTTCTTCTTCAAACGACGGTGAGGCCTCGGCGGCGAGAAAGAGAAGATGCCGACAATCGGTAACCTTGTTTAGAAGGAGCAATCGGCCGCGAGAAGGAGACGATGAAATGAGGATGCTTGTTTTTACTTGTTTTTCACCGAAGGCGAGAAGGAAAAGGAGAAGAAGATTACTGAATTTTTAGTTTTTATAGGTAGGGTAAAAAATCGGTTTAATTTGGTTTATGGGTTGAGTAAATAAATTGGTTTAATTGATTGGTTTGTGTGGTTGAAATAAAATTACTCTCGGTTTATTATAAAATTTTGATGGTTTGATTTATTTTGGAATTGAATAAACCGAATAATTCGACATGTGTACTTCATGTGTAGACTTCGTATGCAGACTTCACATGTAGACCCCAAATGCAGTCTACTTTTAAGTATTAAATTTTGTGAAATATCTT